AGTTGGTGGGGTAGATCCACACGTCAGCTGAGGAGCTGTCAAAACCTGGAAGATGTGGATATATCTTCTTACAGGATGGGCTACTAAAGGGAGCAACACTTTGTCCTTTTGCGTGGTTATTTTGTAAACCGTCGCTGTTCTCCAGCTGGAGGCTCTTTTCAGCTTCATAGACAGCCACCACCATTAAGTCATCGTCATCTTCATCTTCAGGGATGACGTATTCCTGTCTCTCTGCTGTATGTGTGCTATTCTGACCAATTACTGTCCATGGAGATTTTTGCTGATGAGGAGGAGGGTTTGTTGGAGCTACCTGAGCTCTGATGGAGGATGTCCGGATCGCCCCGGTAGCTTTTCGGGCATCTTTCCCCGATTGGACCGCTTTGTTCTGGGACACAGAAGCCCCCCAAGTCTGGAACAAAGTTCTCTGATTTGAACCACCACTCATTTTTATCAGCCGTGGCACAAAACTTTAAGAAAAGTGCCATGTGACTAGCTGCTACATCTCAACCCGAACACAAACATAAAGTCACTTCCGCCGGCATGCTTTCCAAAATAAAAAACCCCCGACGATAGCTACAGCTTTAAATTTGTGGGTGTACCTCCGTTGTTTTAACATAATGAACAAAATGTATATATCGTAATAATTTTAGGATAAGCGATTGAGAAAAGCCTACGGACTTTATATTTTTTATTGAAATGCTTTTAGTTTGTAAGCTAGTTCCCGGAAATGGGTAAAAAAGTTTGCGTTAACTCCCGCTCTCCGGTTAACTGCTGTCATTTTACCATAACAATGGACAGAAGCAAATTGGACAAAATAATTACACATTTCCAGGTGACAAATACATTCCAGTAAAGCGGAAATGTTGGTTATATTCTTTACCTAACGACTGACTGTTGTTATTGCTGTTATTGTTCGGGCCCTGTAGATGCTACTAGCTGTTAGCACAGCTGTAGAACTTACTCCGATGCTAACTGTGTCGTCTCTGCAGGCGCGTGCGCGCGGATACCTCACGAGAACGGAAGTGCGGCGCGCGCGTGAGGACTTTGAAGAGATTGTAAGGGAGGTAGAAGGAGATCTGACCCATTTAAGGTGGACTGATACGACCTTATCCATCCCACACTTTACAGACACAGTAAGTAACTTCCTGTCCTAGGCTGTCACTTTGTATTTAATTCAAGATACTACACTGAAAAACTGGATATGACTTCAATAAGCAGCTTCATTATCATTTTTTTATATGAACAAAGGTGAATTAATATGCCTGCAGTCTATTTCAAATCAATAATCATATGCTACCTGGTGCAGATAGTTAATAATGTTCTAACACTATGATAAAATGAATTTAAGCACACACGTGTTATGTTCAAGTTTTATTTATGTGATATTGAGGGCCACATAAATAGTTATGGCGTGCCAGATTTGGCCCGCAGGCCTTACGTTTGACACATTTGCTCTACAGGTTGAAATGTTATGTATAAAAAAATTTTATCTAAAGATTTTGGCTTCTTTATATTGAGGACTTTTTCTGTCGCTTTCACAAACATACAATTTTATTTTATCACCTTATTTTTGTCCTGTATTTTTGTTGCTTTTCCTTATATTTAGCGTTTTTTATATGTTTATATTGTCTTAATATAATTTTATTTCTCTGTTCCTTTATGTAAAATACATCAGTTGTTGCATGTATGACTAGTGCTAACCAAATAAAGTTGCCTTCAGTATTCAGGAAGAAGAAAAACATAATGCCAAATAAATCAATTAATTGTATGCTAAATTAAAATGATTAATGATAAACAATTAATATGTTTTAAAGGGCAGTTTTGTTTACAGAGACTTCATAATCAATTTTATTTATGGTTTCTGGTCTTTTAATGCCTTTTTGTTTATTGTTTTTGGTCGTTGTGTTTTATTTGGGATATTTAAAATGTCTTCCGGTTCCAGCGTACAAAATTAAAGTTCATTAGTCTTTGCGATGGCAAGCTTGAATTATTTTTGCAATTATGTTTAAATTAGCTGAAAATTGTTTCAAAACGACAATACTATCAATTAAAGCAGTGATTTCTGGGATAATTTACTGTCCTGCAAAATAGAATAAATTAATGCATCAATTTAAATAATAAAAATGTTATGGTCCTTGTTTGAGTTACCTGCATCCATCCAGCATCAAATATCAAAGCATCACTTGAATTAAATTCAAAGAGATATGGAAAATGTTAGCAGATTCAGTCAAAAATCCAATGTTTTCAAGACTTTTGTCCTTGCACTGACAGGATGGAGCATGTCTTCAACCTGCTAGACGTTTACTGAAGCCACCAGACCCAGAACTAGACGTCACTACTTCCCAGAGTCCAGATTCCCTAGAAGAGGAGGGACAGGAGCGCTGTGTCTACCTGGACAGGAAAGAAGCTGAAAGGGAGGATTGGTCCAGCATTCCTCCGAGATGTGATGGAGGGATGATGGAGAGCACAAGAAGGTCCTCCATCGTCTGGAGCAGTCCAGAGCTGGAGCATAATGCTTACCCTCAGAAAGGTGAAACATTGTTTTACAAGTTTTATTTCAGCTGTTTCTCAATTTAAAGTTTCAGGCTTTGATCTTTAAAAATAGGAGGACAGGACCTGCCTCCACACTGTAAAGCATTTGAGACATACTTAGTTGTGTCTACTATGTTCTATCCTTTAAACCAAATAAATTCAGCGTGTTTTAGATTTTGAACCAAAATGTCTGAGTTTGTAAAAGATAAACTTACAGTAGTAAATAGTGTTAACTTTTTATTAATTTAGTCAAACACCCAACAGTTTAATAAACTAGAGTTTTTAGGTTAGCACTTAAAAAATGAAAGAAGAAAAAGACAGATGTGGGAACTATTTCCCAGAATGCTTAGTGGCATGTTTCCACTGAGGTGGAAGTGCGTTACATTGATCTGACTCTAGTTTGTTATTAATGTAAATGTTTATTTTAATGTCCTGTTTTCACAAAATGTTTTCTATCTGAATTCATTGTGACGTTTAATAAAATTCATTATCAGATCAGAAATTTTGTTCATGCAAGAATTTAAATTATTCTAAAGTAAAATAAGTCGTTATATAACAGAGAAATGTGGCTCTTTAGCTGGGTGAAGGAAGTTGTTTCTTGCATATTGTGAAATAATTATTTGGCTTAAATTGCAACTTTAAATTAAAACTAACAATTCAATATTAACGAACTGAAAAAACAATGTTTAAACAACTTGTCTCTTGTTAAGTCAACTTAACGAACTTTAATTAAAACCAAAACAATTTTCTTGTTGACTTAAATTGCATTTTCAAGGCAGCAGGTGGACTTTCATTTTCAAGTTAAACCACCTTCAAATGTTTTACAGTGCAGATTTGAGTTGACATAAAACTGAATCTGTATTTGTAGTGTTGAGTTTGTAATCCTTCATTCAGGTTTCCAGCAGTACTGCCTGGCGCAGGAGGTGCCCCGAACTTCACAGGCGCTGCGTCTCCATAGAAACACTTTGACCATGGAGCTGGTCTGGCTCCAACAAGCTATCGACAGCAGGAAGAAGGTAGGAGCCAAAAATCCCTCTATGCTGTCATTTTCTGAAGGTTTTTCTAAATTTTTCTTTGGATATTGTTTGAAATTGCAACACCTGGCTATGACTTAATGTTGGCATGAAAAGGTTTCTAAACTAAAGTGATAAAGCTGATACATATCAGGAAACCTTTATTACGAACTTTTGTGCTTAAATGTGGGAAAAAGTGATGATAAAAAAAAGCTTAACATGTGGAAAATAAACAAAAGGAAAGAGCAACGTCTCAGGAAATCTACTCAACAGGACAATTTTTGAAAGACTTCAAAAAATTGTCTCATTTGAAGCAAAGTCTGAAAAATAAACCTTTGGTTTTTTTTATTTTGAGTTAGATGCTTTAATGTATTTATTACTTAAGGAAAACACAGGAAGTTCAGGGAAAGTACCAACTAAGTTTCAAGAAAGCTTTGCAGAAGCATTTCCAGATTTCAGAAAAGCTTCAGCAGTGTTAATATTTTGCATCTTTGTGATGGTAGGAAGAGCTCATCCTACCATCTAATTTTAGCCTGTAGCTGCACAACAATCACTGTTTTTAATGTGTTTTTCTTATGTTTCTTTACAGTACCTATCACTGAAGGACAGACTTTACAACGTCGAACTTTTGGCTCCTGACTCACCCTAATATCATCTTTGTTGAAAATTATTTGTATTTATTATTTATGATGTAATATATAATGTAGTGCACTTAAAACATGCATGTAAAAGGAAATAAATTATATTTTTCTATAAAGATATCTCTGCTTTATCTGATGGACTGTTTTATAATTTTCCACCATTTAGTCAGGAAAGTAGCTCATTCAGCTTAATTCAAAAGCTAATCTTTGGTTAAACCTGATCCAGTGTGAAAAATTCTGATAAAATTATCATTTAGCAGGTATGTTGTGTAATTATTCCACCATAATGGTTTGTAAATATCTTTAAAACAAGGCCTGAAACAATTAATCGTGATTAATCGTCAACTAATTTAATAATCAATTAATTGTTAATTGGAGTATAGAGACTCAAATATATGCATTTGCTGACACAATAAACTACATACTGAGAGCAATAAGTAAGCCAAACCTGTACAAAATATACACATTTTGTGATTAAGATAAAAATAAATGTCTGTAAATATGTTCTACCCAAAACTCATTGTCAGTTTTAGCTTCATTTTGTTCAAATTCTGTAACAGAGTAAATCCTAGTTAGCATGTTTTGCTATCCAATATTAATCAGCTAACAACAAAAATAATTATCATATAAACCCTGCGCTGTGTTAATGTAACTTTTCACATGTTGATGTTAGAAATATGTTTTGCTTCAAGCGTGCACTAAAGGAATGCTGTGTTGATGAGTTTTAGTCATAAAATGTTTATTTTCTTATTTTAATAAGGTTTTGCATTATTTGCATGTATTTTTATTGTCGCATAAAAACCGATTAGGTGGTCGAATGAAAAATGTGCAAAATATTCAAATATTTTATACGATTAATCGATTCATCATCAGAATGATCAATTACTAAAATAGTCGTTAGTTTCAGCCCTAATTAAAACTCCTGATTAACGAAGTTTATACCCATTATGAATGTATTTTTAAACATCCTATTGGAGCTGTAGGTCTAAAAACCTGCTGATAGTTTTGTATTTGAATGTTCTCTGTGTCCCAAACTTATCTAATAGTTTTTGGAGAACAGATGAACAGGTGTGGAGGTTATCTTATTGATTCAGCCCACAGCGCAGAGACCCACCCACTCTCCCCTCCTGTCACTTGCTTTTGTTGTGGTTTCTGTCGATGGTTTGGCCCACAGAGCCAGCCCTGGCTGGCCCTGCTGCCATGGCAACCAGGAAATACTCACCGCCGTCAAAGTAGTTGTAGTGTCCGCGAGAGAGGGGGGCAGAGATCGGAGCAGAACGTGGGGAGGCGGAGTCTAGACGGACCACAGCAGCAGAAGGGATCGATTTCCACATTCGGCTGTGCTGAACCTCGTCCTCCTGTAGGTTTGTCACTAAACAGTGTTTGCTGCAGTTAAATCAGAGGTAATCTGTGTAAAAATGTGTAGCTGCTGAACAATGTTTTGAGAGAGTTCAATGTGCTGTTTTGGGATTTAGAATAGATGTGTGGTGAGAGTTTATTAGTATTTCCCTTTAATAAATGGATGTCCCTCAGAGATGGCTGCCAGCTCTGCTGCGCCGGTCAAAAACGTGGTGGTGTTCAGGAATGGAGATCCTTTCTTCGGCGGACGCAGGTTTGTGGTCAACCAGCGTCAGGTGGCCACCATGGAGGCCTTTCTGAACGAGGTGACCCAGAGCATCGGCGCCCCGCTGGCTGTCCGGACCCTGTACACCCCCCGGCAGGGCCACAGGGTCTCAGACCTCCACGACCTCCAGACGGGAGCGCAGTACGTCGCTGCCGGCTTCGAGAGGTTCAAGAAACTGGAGTGAGTACAAAAAACATTTCTATCAGAGAACTTTCTGATTCTTAATCTCCCAGAAAACATCACCATCTTCTGTTTTGTTACAGCTATCTGCATGCAGGGTTAAAAAAGCAGCCTGGAGCTCGTAATGAAGCACAGGTAGGCTTCTCACTTCTAATGTGGCCTCCTGCACTGTCCATCACTCATTAACAACACACTAACTAAGGGGACTGCAGCACAAGGCAAGTAAAATGTTGAACACATTAACCTTTTCCATCCTGTTGACATGAAGCAAAGCACTTTAAAAACTCCACACAACCATTGTTTGGCAATAGGTTAATCTGTTTTAGTTTCAGAAAACCAAAACAGATCCAGAGGTTGTAACTTTCTGGACGTTACAACCTCCATAACGTAACGTCACAAATCAGCAGACCCCGTTACCTAGTAACCCCAGCAGAACTCTGCCCGTTACCCAGCAACCCAAGCTGAGCTCCAGCACGCTTGGTCAGCTGGTTTTCAATGGCTGCTGGTAAAGACAAGTATTTTTATTGTTGACTTGCTGCATTCTTGTTGATTGTGCACGAGGCTCCACTTTTGCTTTTCAAAGATGCATGGTTGTATAATTGTGCATCTGTTTGCAGCCATTGTCACGTGCGAGTGTAAACGTTGGGTTGGGGGGACGAGGCCAAAAGCAGATTATTTGCATTTAAAGTGACAAGAGGCCAAGAGGTTTGTTATGAACTGAGTAGACTAAAATCTCATTATCTAAGAATAATTTTGTGCAAAAAGTGTAATGAACATGTTTTGTGTAGACCATAGATCTATCCTAACCTATTCAAGGAAGCATAATAGGTCCCCCTTAAGAGAGCTAAATCAGAATGGGATATAGGGGAATTATTGAAGACACTTTTGAAAGTATGTTATTGTTTTTAAATCACAAAGGTTATTGAGATCTTCAGTTCTTCTCATATATTTTCAATTGGATTGAAATCAGGGATTAACTGGGTTATTCCAGCTTCTTCATTTTCTTTTTATTGTGAAACTAACCAAGAGTTTTCTTGGCTGTTAGCTTGGGATCATTGTCTGTTTTGTCAACAATGTCATGGCACATTTCTCCTTTTCTTACACGAGTCCTACCATTGTTTTTACCATAAGCTGAAAACAAAAAGTTAGTAGTGTTTTCATGGCATTCCTACCACAAACCCAGTGTGTACGATGACATCCAAACAAAATATATTCTCCCAGTATGTTTTGCAGCAAACTTCAACCAAACTTGAGCTTTTTCTTCATCAGTGGAGTCTTGTGCAGCGAGCCATTAGCACATAATTTAATCTGCAGACATATTTGTCTCAATTTCTTTGTTTACATCAACTGCTTGAGTTGTTATTAACCTCTGCTGCAAAATGTCGTACAAAAACCCTATTAGAAATATGTTGATTGGACAAAATGTTAATTTTTTCAGCACTTATGTTGCTTATTGCATCTAAAAAATAGATAAATCAAATATGAAAGTAATTTTAATGTGTTCAATTACTGAGATAAGCTCTTATTTGCCTATCAGTTGTAAATGGATCAGCCTTTTGTGCTTGCAGTACTACTGATGTCAGCGGTTGTCATGTAAATTGCTTGAAAAGTGGGCTCATCATTACTGCGTCTCTCATTTTCCCCTTGAATTACTATAGAGTCATTAACTACAGGTGGATAATAGATTAGCCTTGCAGATTAAACCAGTTTTTATCAGAAAAAAAGTTCTGAGTTACAACTAAATAATTTTTTCTGCAGATTTTTGCAAACTAAACTAAAGAGTAAGAAGAGAAACTCTTGTGTTTTGTTGCTTGCTTGTATTCTGATCAGCTTCTTTGCTCTTGGTCGTAATCTGTTGGTGTTTTGTGAAAACCATAAAACATTCAGGAATAAATGTGTGACTCTTTCATTTGGATTTTTAACCAGAGTCATTGGGTTTTAAAGTCTTACATGCCAGTGTTGTGGTTACCGTGGAGAAGTGTAATAAACGTGTGTGTGTGTCCATTTAATCCGCTTTTCACACAATCCTATCAGGGCCATGTACGAGTCCAGGCAGGCTTGGTTTGATGCTCAGACTGGGCGTAAATTAATAAAACGAGTGCAACCTCACAGAAATACAGAACAGCTTCTATGTTCTGATATCAGCCACATATTTGCGTCTGATTGCTGTTATGTGAAAGATCATTGAGAGGATAGCTCAAATCAGACACGGTAAGTAAATATGCCATCTAAGGACTCTTAGAGCGAGCGTAGTTTCCATGGCTGCTGCTCTTGAGTTTACACGAGCAGAATATCTAAATAGTCATTACGCGTTTGGGGAAAGTGAGTTTGCTGGGATGGATATGGATCTGGAGAGTGGAGGAGGCGTAAATGCGATGAGTGGTGTTTAAATTGATCAGACTGCCAGACTGTGATGTTCTGCATTTGATTTTCTAAATATCGCCTCCAGGTAAAAGTCATCCAGAGGCCCAACGTTTCAGCCAAATGGAGGAAGTTTATTCCTGTTCCTTGCATTATACAGTATGTTTGATAAATCTTTTACACTCTTTTAACTTTTTTCCTGTTTTCTTATCTGATGATCACAAAATGCAAAATAGTTTATTTTATGTGAAAGGCTCCATGTAGTTCATGAATATTTAATGGTAAAGAAAACAGTACAAAGTTGTTGTTTTTTTTTTCAAATAAAATCTGAAAAGTGTGGTGTCCATTTGCATTCAGCTTTTCTGAGTTAAAACTTTGTATCTCCACATTTTACTCCAGTAGGTACATCTAGAGCTGATGCAGATGAACAAATTTTGTCATGTTTTTACATTTAACATTTTCAGTTACAAATGTACTTTTTAACAGAAAATGCTAGATGCAATAATGAAGTATTTATGTTTTTATCCATGTTTTTGGCCTTATATTATGCAAGCAAGATCTTGTTACTTGTTAGTTACTTGGAATAACAGACTAAAATTTTTCTAGAACAAATTTGACCCTAAAGGAGAACATCTGAAATCATTTTTCAAACACACAATAACTTATTTTTTAACTTTGAAATATTTCATGTTGAAACTCTGATTCCCCACACCATGATACTGCCACCACCATGCTTCATTTTTGTATGATGGATTGAATATAATTCATATTTTAAAGTTATTAAAACATGATTTAATTAATGCAAAATAAAGTAAGATGAAACGATAAAAGTCTTTGTCAACCATTGATGTGAAGAAACAAAATTTTGGAGTTTACCTGCAGAGAAGAAGTTTTTTGTACTTAATCACTGATATAATACATAATTTGACTCTTATCTTAAAGTAAATTGAGTTCAGTATCTTATCACTGGTAACTTTTCTAAATGCATTCCTCTCTTTTTAATGTCCCTGCTCAGTGTATTCCGTAATGGAGATCTTCTGTGTCCACCTTTCCGGTTCATCATTCCTCGGAGTTTGCAGCAGGACCTGGATCAAATCCTGAGTCTGATCACCGAGAAAGTCAGCTTACGGACTGGAGCGGTGCGAAGGTCAGGCAGAAGGCAAACATGCAATGTCGGGTTAGGGCCAGCGTACATAGAAAAGAAGTAGTACGATTCTGGCAAAAAAAAAATCTCAGAAATTTTCTAGAAAAAGGGAATTTCTGAGTTTGAAAAGCTTAAAAATTTTTACTTTTGAAATTCAAAAATTTCCAACATAAAAATTTCAGATCTCCGAAATTTCCATTTTTTTCCCAAGAATATTTCTGAGATTCATTTCAGAATTTCTGTTTTTTCTCACAAATTCTCAACTTTTGAAACTCAGAAATTTCCTTGTTTTTTTTTTTCCAGAAAATATTTGAGATTAATCTTTAAAATTTATTAATTTTTTGTAGCAAATTTTTAACCTTTCATCGTCAGAATTTTCTGTGATTCTTTTTCTATTATGTTTCTGAAATTAATCTTAAATTCTTTAATTTTTTTTAGCAAATTCTTGACTTTTTATATTCAGAAATTTCCTTTTCTTTTTGAAGAAATTTGTTCCTTTTTTTACGTAATATGCTGGGTTTTGGTGGCGTTTTTTGCAGGCTGTGCTCTCTGGATGGAGTCTCTGTTTCCTCGGCCGGGGAGCTGCAGACCGGCTGCTGCTACGTTGCTGTGGGAACCGAAAGGTTCAAGAAACTTCCATATGTGGAGTTACTGGTTTCAAAAGCTATAGAGAGGTATTTTACATTTTTTATTTGTATGTGCCTGGAGATGATTCCACCATAAAGCATCAGAAAACTGGAAAACTTAGCAGTAATGACGATTAAGTCTTCCTTTTTGTTGTTTTTAGACATTATCCTGAGAAGAGGAAACTGCTGAGGAGAACACAGGTTAAAAAATCACCTCAGACGTTTAATTAGTTGCCTTATTTTATTATGAGTGAGCATTTAATAGAAGAGTACAGCCTACAGTGATGTGTGTGAAAGTATGACGGTGTATTGGTAGATTTCAGTAGATTAAAAAAACTAAAAAAAACTAAAAAATTTTTAGATTAAAACCAGAAACTTTCTAGAACGAACATGAAAATGTCAGATTTTGGAAAGACAAATGTTTTTAGAGAAAATTGTAGAATTTAAAAAAAAACCAAAACAAAGTTTTTGGTTGAAAAGTAAAAAAAAAAATTAATTAAATTAATCTCAGAAATTTTCTAGAAAAAAATAAGGACATTTTTGAATTTGAAAAGTTGACATTTTTTTCCTCAAACTCAGAAATTTCTATGTTTTTTCTAGAAAATGTCTGAGATTAAACTCAAAATTTGAGTCTTTTGGTGGAAATTTACTCCTACCTTTTTCTACTTAAAGCCCCTAATACGCTGTGACACAGAAATAAAAAAGGCATTAGTTATAAAACATAAAGCAGAATGGCATAACATCAAGTTTCTGAAGAGATGTCCAGGTAAACTGAATATTTGTCAGTCAAATAATTATTTTTCTCTCAGAACAGAAAAGCAGGAAGCGGTCCTGAAGACCGGTACAGTGACTCAGCTCTCCTCGACTCCTCAGAGGTAACTCAAATTTAACTCAGACACTGCTGATCCAAGAGGAAAATTAAATGTTGCTGTAACTCGTATTAATTCAAGAAATAACGTTATAAAATAAGGAGAAGCTCTCTCTGTTTCATTGGCTGATGCTGTGACTAGTTTTTATATTAGTTTAACAAAAAATTCAGAAAGAAACTTCAGGTGTAAATCTGTATGTTTTTATCAGAACGTATATTGAGCTGTAAGCCTGACTTTCAGTCCGATGGCCGGAGGGTGAAGTCGACAGGAGATGAAGCTGCGGCTCTTCAGGCGTCGCAGCAGCTGAGCAGGAGGGAGAGAGCGGACGAGGCGTCCGGATACTTCGCCCGGCCCGTTAAAGTTCGCAAGAACAGAACGCAAAGCAGACTGCTGCTCACTGACGGACCTGGTAACGAACGCCGCTAAATCTGACCCAAACCCCTCAGAACATTTTACCACGTTGTCGCATTGAAACATCACACATTTGTGTTTCTTATTTGGGTTTTATCTGTCAAAGGAAACAAATGTAAAAGACAAAATTAACATGCAACACTGCAAAAACACAAAAGTACTTTTGGTCTAGTTTCTACTGCAAATATCTAACTACACTTAAAATAAGACAAAACTAACTTACAAATAACTATTCAGCAAGATATAGGAGCTTGCTTTAGGTAAATAATTCCTAAATGTTGATGAAAATGTACATCAGCAGATTATTATTTGTGCAGCACATTTCAGCAACAAGGCATTTCAAAGTGCTTTACATTATAAAAACACAAAAATACAAAGTCATAAAACACAAGGTAACAATTGAAACTTTACATTTAATCAAAAAATGTTGGTCAGTGTTTCATTTACTATGGTCAATACAGAATTATTCACTAAAAACAATTTGTAGAAATATAAACCGTTCTCAAGTTGAAAACTAGCAGAAACCTTTATTGTGGAATTCTATTATATATATATATGTATTTGTTACAGGTAAGCCAGGTGTGCTCAAAGCAGAGGAACGGACAAACAGAGAGGAGGCTCAAGGTGCAGAGGAGGTGCAGGAGGATGAGAATACGGCTACAGAGCTTCCTGTTGATCAGGTCGGCATCCATGTTTCATTACATCAGAATATGTCTGAACTACAGTGAAATAAAAGGCAGCAAGGTGTTTGATGAAAAATAACAGGTGCAAATTTTGCCAAAATAAATCAAACATTTTGAGGTTAATCTCAGTAATTTTCTAAAAAAAACAAAACAAGGATATGTCTAAGCTTGAAAAGTTGAAAATAAACTAGAAATAAACTCAGAAATGTTGAGCTTAATCTAATCATAGGATTTCTAGAAAAAACTTGGAAATTTCTGAGCTTGAAAATTCAAAAATGTGTTTGAAAAAATTTGAAATTTTCAGATTTATCTCCGAAATTTTCTAAAAACAACAACAAAAATAACAAGGACATTTCAGAACTTGAAAAGCCAAACATTTACTAGAAAAACCCCCAGAAATTTTGAGAATAATCAAAAGAGCTTGTTAATCTCAAGAAAATATTTGACTTTTGCAAATTTTCTGAGTTCCAAAAGTTTAAAATTTTCTGAAAATTTCCAGAACATTTCTGAGATCGATCAATTTCTCAGTTTTTTCTAGCATTTTTTTACTCTTCCCACTCAGACATTTTCTCGTTTTTTTTTCTAGAAGATATTTTGGTGTAAATTTATTCTTTTTTTCCATCTGCAATGGCTTTGATACGTCTCAGTAAAAAAGACATAAGCCAGAGGTTTGGATAAAATTTTAATCCGATTCCCATTGTTTCCCTAAAGACAGTTGCAGAAATAGTTGAAGATGAAGACTTAAGCAACACAGAGGCTCCGGTGCAGAACTCTCCACAGGTGGGCAGCGTTTTATCATAATAAATGAAAAGTAAAGGGAAATAACTCTTTGTTCAATGTGATTACACCTAATCCCAGGCTTTCTGACCAGAATGTATCTATTTATTTACTGGTAAAAGAACAATGCATTATGTTTCTCTAACTATAAAACATCAATTTCCCTCAAGAGACATGCAGAAAAGAGCGAGCAGCAGCATCAACAGGAGCCCAGTGGAAAGCAGGTAGAGAGTGGGTGTTTAAATCACCAAATGAATCCTGTTTAACTGGGTCATTTTTATGGATAATTTATTTCTGTATGAAAGGTGAAAGCATCTGAACAGCAGCAGGAGTCAGCAGCTCAGATCCTGGTATAAACACCCACACATCAGTCTGTCTGTAATGAGACCACGGACTAAATTTCCACTAAAAATATGGAGATTGTCAGAAATTTTCAAGAAAAAATAAAGACATAAAAGTCATTTGTGAGAAAAACAGAAATTGAGATTAATTTCAAATATTTTAGAAAAAAAATCTTTAAAAATTAGTTTTTTTATTTTCATACGTTTTCAAGACAAAACAACCTCAAAGTTGTCAATTTTCATGAAAAAACACAGAAATTCAGATTTCACATATTTAAAAAGAAAAACTAGAAAGGTTTATTCGAAAATTTGTGAAATTCATAAAAATTGTAAAAAATATATTTTTGGAGCTCAGAAATTTTCCAAGTTTTTTTTATATCCATCCATTTTCTGAACACCCTTGTCCCTCAGTGGGGTCGGGAGGGGTGCTGGTGCCTATCTCCAGCTAACGTTCCGGGTGAGAGGCGGGGTACATCCTGGACAGGTCGCCAGTCTGTCGCAGGGCAACACAGACACACAACCATGAGCAAACACACACCTAGGGGCAATTTAGACAGACCAATTAACCTAACAGTCATGTTTTTTGGACTGTGGGAGGAAACCGGAGTACCCGGAGAAAACCCACGCATGCACAGGGAGAACATGCAAACTCCATGCAGAAAGACCGGGGCGGGAATTGAACCCAGAACCTTCTTGCTGCACGGCAACAGCTCTACCAACTGCGCCACTGTGCAGCCCAGTTTTTTATATATGTATATGAAATTAAAATTATTTTTTTTAGTTTATGAATTTAGAATTCACACATTTTTCATGAAAATTTCTGGAATTAATGTAAAAATTTCTCACAAATTAACTTTTCAACCTCGAAGAATTTCTGAGTTTTTCCTTGAAGTTTTCTGAAATTAGTATGAAAATTCCTGAGTTTCTTTGCAAAAATGTACTTTTACTTGTAAAAAAAAAAAAAGATCTACAGTGGCTCTTGTACAGCGTTGTATAAAACTGATCACAGTTTCTGTTTTTGTGTTTAGAAAGAGGCTGAACTGAAGCCGAAATCGTCACCGTCCCACTCAGAAGGGAAGATCAGGAAAGAGCAGGTGACTCTGCCGACTGCACATCTATAAAATCCTGGAGAAACTTTGCTTTTCTACTGATTTTAATGTTTTCCTGTGGCAGAAGAGCCTGCAGGACGTTTAATGCCGTCTCTGACTGAATGAGTAGTACCTAAACTGTGATATTGAGAAAAGATTTGTTTGTATTTTGTCTTTTTTTAATCATAAGATATAAATCTGAATCAAAATCCAACAAATCTCTGAAAAACCTGCTGAAAGTGAGATTATTTAATCTGTTCATCCTGTTTAAAAGGAGCAGGAACCAACATTCAGTCCTGCATCTTAATTTAATTAAACTTAAAATAATCTGTAAAGAGCTGCTGTGTCAACTGAAAACCCTCTTGTGCACAAGGAGAACAAACACGTTTTTCATTTTTGTTCACTCTTCTTCATTCAAAGCAAATATTCTTGAAATTCTAGAATTTTCCATCCTTGAAATATAATTTTTGTGGATTTAAGTCTTCATTTTTTCTGTGTTTTTTGTTTTCATGTCTTGGCAGGAAGGAGAGCATCATTTCTGATGGAAAGTCAATGAAAAGTCAGATGTTTTCATCGTATGCAAATTGTTAGTTTAATACATGAGCAAAAAAATTTTTTTTGTTTGAATCAAATAAAAATTAGATGTGTTTGAGGAAACAAGCAGTTTCTGTCAAAGTAGTTTAGTACTAAAGTATATGACATTTAAAGTGACAAAGTCATTTATGTCTTAAATCCATGAAATAATGTAATTAAAGTTTATATTCCTTTGTATGTCGGCTGTCCTTTTAATCTATTGTTTCTTATAAAGTCAACTCAGCAATTTAAAAAATAAAGGCTACTTGGTCATGTTTATGTATTAAAGTCTGATATTTAATCAAAAATAAATATGGAGTGAATTGTTTTTATTTTAATTTAAAACAAAATAAATGAGATTCACTAAATTGTAGTCTTAACCCTTCATTTGAAAATAGGTTAACGGAAATATTCGCTAACAAAAATAAGGATGAACCGATTGGTAATTACACCAAAAATATTTTAATAATTAATGTCACACAAAATCAGAGCAACAAACAGGAAATCCACAGAAATTCAGAAGAGACGGAAGAACATATAGATCATTATCAGCTGGTTTTATTAGTGTTACTTTACCCGACTTTGGAAAAGAGGAAATAATTTAGTTACAGCAGGCCGTGACATATAAAAGGTCATTTTCAAACAGTTTTGTCGTCTCCCACAGAAGTAAAATCTAAAAATCTTTTTCTATGCGAGCTCCGTAAATTCAGTCCATCTCTGGAATGAACCCACCTCCTCTTCCTCTTTTTGAAGTCCAACATGAGTAAATCTGGAAGAGATTGTCCTTCCAAGACGTTTTCTGCCTCCAGTCCTGCTAAAGATGCAGCTTTGCTTTTCTTTTCTTTTCTTCAACAACTGCTTTATCTCCATCAGAGCTGAGGTTGGCTCTCACTCTGCCTGTCAGTATCTTTGGCTTCAATGGAGCTTATAACGCACAGAGTGACGCCTGTCATAGTGAGGAACATTCCCACTACGGCTCCTGCAGAAGCAAGAGGAGGAAAAACATTTTTACTGATGCATGAAGACAGAAAACGGTGAATAATAGATGCTGCAAAGAACATATGACTCACGTTTGCCTCCAAATTCTTCCCCCAGCAGCTTTCCCGTCAGCAGAGTGCAAAGGAAGGTGAGTGAGTTCGCCACAGGAACAGCAAGAGACAAATCTGGATGGAAAAGGCTCTGATTTATTGAGCTGTGTTTGTTTGGCCGCATATTAGGGCCATTCTAAATGTAAAAAAAAAAAAAAAAAAGGAAATGTCCGCTTAAAATCTAAGAAATTTATTTAAAAATTTTTTTTAGAAAAATGCATGGACAATTCCAGTTTGAAAAGTCAAAATTTTGCTAGAATTTTTTTTGATAAATTTTCAAGTAAAAACTCGGAAATTTCTTACTTTGAAAAGTCAAAAATTGGTGAGAAAAGAAAATCATCATTTGAAATTGATCTAACAAAAATTTTAAGAAAAAAATATGGAAAAATTTCTAATTTGGAAAAGTTAAAATTTGGACAGAAAAAATATATATATATTTTAAGAATAATCTCAGAAATTGTCTAGAAAATTCTGGGTTTCAAAAGCCAAAAGATTTGCTTGAAAAATATAATATTTTAAGAATAAATTAATCTCAGAAATGTTTCCTGGAAAAACTTGAAAATTCTGAGTTTGAAAAGTCAAAAAAATAAAATAAAATAAATAAAAATCCAGAAAAACCGTGGACATTTTTTGAAATTTTTAAAGAAACATTTTAAACTTTTCAAACTCAGAAATGTCATGTTTTATAGAAAATTTCTGAGATAAATCTCAAAGTTACTGAGTTTTTTTCTAGCAGATTTCAGAGAATTTTTTTGGCATAAATTTCCGGTTTTTTTTTTAATCTAAAATAGCCCTTATGCCATTATACACATGAGACATCAGCCATATCACCTCTGAATTGTTTCTTACCAGTTGTTGACAGCGTATAATAATAAACCAGAGAACCACTCTGGTTTATTAGAAATGGGACCAAATACTAAAAAAATAAAAAAAGTAAAAATAAAAGGTTCAGCAAATAATAATAAAGATTACAATTAAATAGGAAATATTTCAGAGTTTTACACCAAACCTTTATGTTTAGAAGAAGAAACTTGATTTCAGCGAGCAGCTGAAAGACTCGGTTGGTTTCTGTCACATTTTCTATCCCCTCTGAACCTTTTTTCAGGAAAGGGTTTGTGCAGCCCCACAGCAGCGACACCAGCACCAAACTCAGCACCTCCGCTTCAAACACACAACACAGTCACATCTCAGCATCACGGTTTACTTTATCACACAGCAGAAATACACTGCAGCTCACTGAAAATGGAGCTAAAATGAAAGCAGCATCTGCTACTCAAGTCAAACCTGCACAGAATATATTTCACTACTGACAGACTAAGTAACAGTCTGTTTATGATATTTTTAAATCATAAATAATGAAAAAGCTAAAAGCAACAAAGCTAAAATGACTTTTTCCTTTTGCAAACTGAAGGAAGTTTTCACATTTTCCCTTTTTCTGTTTTCAAAAACACACAACTGTGTATTGAATAAAACACAATTAATAAAATAAAAAACGATCTGAGTTTTGGAAATTATGTGGTTCGTGTAGAACAAAAACTTCCAAATTAGCTTTTTTGAGTTTTCGTGAAGTTTTTTCACAAAAGACTGTTTCGTGGAGTAATTTCTCTTTAGATTTAAAAATTACATAATGTAAAATCAATAATGACTACAAAGCAATTTAACACACATTTTAACCATTAAACATTTTTAAAATAGAGCGAATAAAAGCCAGATTTGTTATAAATAGTGAAATAGCCTTTTTAAAAACCGACTGGGTCGCTAACTTCAGCGTCAGAAACAACAAGCCGGAAGTTAGCAACTCGCTACACCTGATAAAGAGCTACGCTACTTCCTTAGCATCGTCTGTGTCAGCTTTCCAGCTAGCTAAAAAGAAAGTTGAACGTTTGAATAAACTCAAATCCAAAGACAACTATAAATATGGCTAATAGTATTTTAAAACAGCACCAATCGAACCGATTCCTCTCACCTATGGTCACCATTGTCACGTCAACTGCATCTTAGTCGCCTACAAGTTGCGTTCAAGATCACTCTGGTTGTTCGTTAATATTTTTAAAACAACCAACATTTATTTATATTCTCACGTAGCATGTATGGTATTTAAGATGATAATTTAAAAATATAAAACCAGTTGAAATATATACCAATTTTACGTCGACTTTATTCTTATTGCACTAAATGCCATTTAGTTATTTTTGTTAACTTGTACCCATGAATTTACCATTCGTGCTTGTGTAGCCAAGTCCTTCCACCAGAGGGCGCAGTAACTCCTAAACAATAGTTGGCTGAATACATTTGTTCTCTTACAGCTCACTAGCTCACTTTGAGCGCTACACATTACATTTTTAAGGGTCAGGTCATCCAAAATTGTTTCTTTGTAGATGGAAGGGAATTGATTTCTAGCCATTTTGTCTAGTTTTTAGTTGCACACTTGGAAATTAATGAGTCAATAATTAAATTGCACAATAATCACAGCAATAATTGTATTTAAATACAGCAGTATTTGTATTTATTTGTCAACCAGCAGAGTTAAAATGAGCCAAATTACCTCTGCAGATGCCAAACAGCTTGTTCTGCTAATGACTCTTGGTGTTATTTATTGAATCACATAACTGACATGTAAACAATCCAAAATATATATATTCTTATTCATACATACATGCCCATGAGAGTTGTTTGTCACCTTAAAACTATGTTTTTAAAGTAACAACCTCTAGGCAGGTACATTTTTATTAAGACCACATATCTGTTTTAGAAATGTTTATTTTTATTGGTCTGATTTAATATCTTAAATGCCATGTTTTAATTAGTTTTGAGAAGAAAATCACCATAATTAAGAAAATATAAAGTCTTGAAAATATTGTTCTATGTGATTAATCTATGTAATCTGTTTCACTTAAGGAAATGAGTCACTAAAACCAATTAACTTTTCAATAATATTCTAATTTATTAAATTTGACTGTGTATTATAGAACTGATTTTGTAGGAAAGTCTAATTTTGGGATATTTTCTGATTACTAAGCAACAATAAATGGATTTAGCCTTTTTCTACTCCACATATTATTTATCTACATAGTGCATCACAATGCTTCTGGAGAAATGAAATCCTTGGTTAAAACATAAAACATAGTATTTTTTTTATTATAATCAAGACTCAAAAAGAAAGACAAACAAAGACAAAGGAGCAGTGAAAATAAAGTGCAAAATACTTTAGTGTCAAATGATTAAAGATTCACATCAATGGGTTTTGCTGACAGATGCTAAAGAAAACATCTTCATTGATTCTTCATTGAAATACGTATTTACTTCCTGTAAACCTAAAGCTAATCTGTGAGGAGAACACAAAGATAGAATGATGGGAATTAAATCTGTTACACTGTCATCTACTAAATCCATAACTGCTTTCTACGTGATCATTTTGTTTCCAAACTAGTGAGCAGCGAACAACTTCACGGATGTTTGTAGAAAACGTTGAGAACCATTCCCTGGATGTTTTCTCAGAAAACACTGCATTTCTTCTTCAGATTGTCTTTACATGATATCCTTCATAATCCACAGTTTGTTCCCTGTAATCTGAGCACTCCAGTTTCCCGGCTGATGAAGATTCCCGCAGGGTTCAGTCAGTCGTGTTGGTTTGAATTCAAACCTCGGCCAGTGGAGCTGTTTGCTATGTGTTCAGTGGGGAGGGCGTGTCGTGTACGGTGACCACGGTGGACTCGCTGTAGTCGCTGGTGGTGCTGAACTGCTCGGAGTGATTCCCGTCCGCTCTGGACAGCTGGAAGCCGTCCTCTGACACCGGGTTGGAGTGGGTGATGCTGCCCGACACGGAGCTGACCCCCATGCTGTTCAGAGGAACGCTGCCGTTAAACGTGGACTGGGACGTCTTCGGACGAGGTTTGGAGCCCGCCCGGCCCCCCAGCAGTCTGGACTCATGAGTCCGTCTGGCCAAGAAGACGAGAAAAAATACATTATTTTTCTAACCAGGCTACAAACATGTCGACATTTTAACAGCACAATAATGTAAGAAATCAAGTAAGTATAAAGGTGTGTTAGAGACATTGATGAGTGAATTTTTGCCAACGAACTCAGAAATTTTGAGATTAATCTAAAAAAAAAAAATAAAAAATAGTAATTATAGAAAAATGTGTTGATTTCTGAAAATTTTAGACTTTTAAAGTTAGGAAATGTCCTAAGTTTTGACTTTTACAATTTTCTTTTAAATAGTTGAAAATTTTCTAGCAAAAAAAAAAAAAAAAAAAAAAAAAAAACAAAAATCTTAAAAAAAATCTTAAAAATTTTTTAAA